ATTTATTATCTAGTCAGGGAAAATGATTTTTAAATTAAAAAGTATTTCCTTAGATTCCAAGAAGCAATGCAGACTGTGACAAGAGAATATATTTCATGCATTATAAATGCATGAAATCACCTCACTGAAGGTTGAGATGGAAAAGTCACTTTGGAAGTGAATGGAATCTGTTAGACATAAGGCAACAAGGAACTGCATTGAGCACTGGACCTCAGTGGATGCGGTTGATTCCCCAAGGACTTGGTGGTGTTAAATGCCATTGAGTTAGTTCTGACTCATAGTGACCCTGTATAAGTTTTTTGTTTTTGTTTTTTTGTTAAGTTTTTATTGTCAATTATGTAGTAGTTTACATGGGAGAACATCAGCTTTACATTCATCCTATTGTATTTTGTTTCATTGCAATGATTATAATCCCCTCCATGCATCATCAACCAACCAAAGGGTATGCACTGCAAGCCTGCCCCTTGGCAGTGAGCACACAGCCCCTCTCCCTCCCTGAGTCCAGAGTCCCCAGCTGCTCCATCTCTCTACGTCATCATCTCTGCCTCCATCTCTGGCGTCACTGTTTCTTTGGGTAGGGTCCTGCACTCCACTCCTCTCCCTTGGTGGTCCAAGGGGCCTCCACTCATGGACTGCAAAATCAATCACTCCTCTCCTTTTGTTACAAAACATCTGCCTTTACATTTCCAACCCTCACAGTTAGTCCTGATGGCAATTATTCACTATTGTACCACAAGAGTCTTATCTCCATCTCCTTTTACCAGCCTACTCCTTACAGATTGGATACTACTCAATGGAAATTGTACCTTCCTCTGGAACTAGGCTCCCCCTTGAAAGCTTGTAAGCCAGTCACTTCTTGCCTTTGTAGCCCCACATTTTGGGTAGCCAACGTCTACGTTGGCCTTCCCTGTCAACCCTGTGTACCCAGGTGGGTGGGAATGATCCTCGCTGTAAAGATTCGTTCCCTCTTTTTAGCTACTACATCTGGTAAGTATAAGTCAAGTTCATCAAATTGTATCAGATTACTCTTTTTTTCCTCTTCTTTCTTCTTCTAGCAGAGTTCTGATCATCCAGCCATTGAAGCCAGGTCAAGTGGGTATTATTTGCAAGTATGGGTGTTCTCGTGCATCTCCCCTCGCTTCGTATCAGCCAGATGCTTCACTCTCTGCTTTAGTCTTCTGTGGCCATGTCACTGTCTCTGGGCCCAGGAGTCCCCAGGTCTCGCCATACTGCTGGCCAACCAGGTCTCAACCGGGGTTCACAGGAGTCTATTTGAACATGGCCAGACTTAGCTCACATCTTCATTGCTGTTTTCCCCTACTTCCCCTTATCAGTGACCAACGTGGTCACCAGCAATACCACATTTCTGCTCATGTATTCCCCTTGAGTCTTAGTCTTGGAAGGGGGTTTGCTCTGAGGGAACCGAACCACTGCTTTAGTGGCTCCCTGGTGAACAGCTTGCTTGTTCTTGTGGTAGTCAATCAGACTGCTATTACTGTTTTTGATTTTTCCTGTGCTAGTCTTTCTTTCAAGCAGTATCTTCTGTTCATCTGACTGCTCCATGCTAGTCTGCTTGTCCTTTCGAATGGAAATTTCCCACTTCACAAGATTCTAGATGGGGTTCAGGGTTCTACCTATGGTCTTATGCAATGCAAAGGCTCTGCAGGAAGCCTCTTTCATTGGGCAGCTTCTAGCCCCCTTTTAGGTATTCCAATCAGTTATAGGCTGAAGACGGACTTACAAGCTTTCTGTGGCATACACTGGTTCTTGACTTGTTGTTTGCTCCTGCTGCATTTGACACTTACCCTTGAAAGACTTGTAAATAAAAGCATTTCCTAAGCAAATTGGTAGTTAAAGTCGATTTTAATGTTCAGTATGCAGAAGCAGTCACATATTTTCCATAAATTCCTTATAATTCATGATTAAAATTCAGGATTTGTTTCTCCTTTTCCTGTTAGTAAGTTTACAATCTCTAAGTAGAAATTAGATTCTAAGAATCTGAAGCCAAGAAAACACACTTTACTTTTCAGGGTGAATTTATATGGTATCCCTTTGAATCTTCTCAGTTGGGATTGTGTATCTTGTTTACCAACTCTCTCTCATTTCCTGTTTCTCACACTTTGGAGGGACATTGGAACATGGAGAAGCCCATCTATATAATCAGCATGCAAAATAAGTTTATCTGTGGAATATAAGCTGGTGATTCTTTCCAATATATCTTGATATGCCTGAATTACGTGTTGCAGTGTACTCAAGGGATCATTACCAGGAGAGACACTTCGGAGCCATAGTTTATGCCGGCAGTGGTATGGAATGTATCTTTTCTAGAACACTTAGACTGTCTTAAAGAAAAATGTCATATTGCACCAAATAGAAAAAAGGTAATCTGATGTTTAATTCAAGGTCTTTGTTCACTCTATCCATTGGGGAAATCCTTTTACTACTACTTCAGCCATAATACTTTCTGGTCCCATCACTTTCACCCGTAATTCTCCCATTATTTTATATTAGGCTCCAGATTTCTTCGTCTAACCTTATTAGTGCCCTGTGTTAGTACTTTTAACATGATGGAACCTTTGACATTGAATCTTCTACATTGAGTCTTAGCTGTTGAAGTCAAATATGTAAGTGAAAAAAATCATAATTCTGGAGTTAGGCCACCCTGACCCTGGAGCCTATCTCTGCTGTTCCATTGGCAAGTGAGTTAGCCTTTCGGAACCACTTTTGTCTCTCCATTATGGAGATTAATACCTTTCTTCCTTACAAGGAAGCTGTAAGGATTAAATGAGATCATGTATGTGAAACACCTGTATTAGGGCCCAACAGTTTTCCCCTTACATGTGTTCCTTTGGCTTCCTGATGACTTTCTATATAAAATGAAACATGATAAGCTCCTTTTTTATTCACATTCTCTTTCACAGGCCATGCCTTCCTTTTTTAACAGCCACTGGAGTATTCTTACCACTGTGAGGTACACTTTCTTCCCTGTGACTTGAGTAGATTTTTTTTTTTTAACCATTACACCGTCCTTTGTAGTGGTTAGGAATCGGGCTACGAACCTTAAGGTCGGCAGCAGTTCGAAACTACCAGCTGTTCCGTGGGAGAATGATGAGGCGTTCTGCTCCGGTAAAAATTTACAGCCTCAGAAACCCTATATAGGGTTGCTATGAGTTGGAACCGACTCCACGGCACATGACTACCACCACCACCACCACCCCATCCTTTAAAACTCCCCTCTATGTCCTCCTTGAATTAGCATTAGTCCTGGTACCCTAAAGAAGTCATGTTTTGTGCTTTTACCATCTGTTCCTAAGTTAGTTTCTCCCACCTGCATTCCTTTTTTGGGAGTCCTGGTGCAGCCCTGTGGGTTAACACACTGGACTGCAAAGTCGGTTTGAATCACAGGGTCCACAGTTGAAGCTCACCAGCCACTCCTGGGAAACAGGATCACTGTGGGTTGGAACTGACTTGATGGCACTTATCAACAATATTCCTTTGACTTAAGTTTTCATTCTGCCACTGACCCTACTATTTGCTCACTTTGGTTTTTCCCAGCAATTCCTTTTCCTAGGCCTATATCCATGCCACTTCTCAAATCACTGCAGTGTTAAAACGCATTTCTTAGGTGGAATGTGAGTGTGATACTGATTGAAGAGTTCTCACAGCATCGTAACTTGACTAGAACATCAAGTGCCTGTGGGCTCCCAAGTCATCCATGACAAGGTGACATCTGTTCTCCTAAAAAGTATTCTTTTTCAGAGAAAATGTCTTCTGTAGACTAGGCAGTTGCTGCTGTTGTTAAGTGCTATCCAGTTGGTTCTGACTCACAGTGACCTTGTGTAGAGTTTCCAAGGAGCAGCTGGTGAGCTTGAACTTCTGACCTTGCAATTCAAATGACTTTGCAGTCTCATGCATTGACCCACAGCACCACACCAGGACTCCTAGACTAGGCACTTATTGTTGTTGTTAGGCGCCACCGAGTTGGTACCAACTCATAGCAACCCTATGCACAACAGAACGAAACACTGCCCAATCCTGGGCCAACCTAACTACTGTTGCCGTGCTTGAGCCCATTGATGCCACTTGGCCAATCCATCTCGTTGGGGATCTTCCTCTTTTTCTCTGACCCTCCACTTCACCAAACATGATATCCTTCTCCAGAGACTGGTTCCTCCTGACAACATGTCTGAAGTATGAGAGATGAAGTTTGGCCATCTTGGCCTCCAAGGAGCACTGTGGATGCACTTCTTCCAACACAGATCTGTTAGTTCTTTTGGCAGCCCATGGCACTTTTCAGTATTCTCCTCCAACACCATAACCCAAAAGCATCAATTATTCTACAGTCTTCCTTACAATTCTGGTAAATGGGCCAATTATATTGTAATCTTCAGAGGGTACTATTTTCTTGAAAATAATTGTCCTGAAAGGACAACTAGCCTCTTGAACTTCATCTTTTCTTCTCTATGCTAGTCACTTCTTTCCCATGGATGTGACTAAGCATGCCACAGTAGATCATCGATTGTATAGAGTGAAGATTGTTAAATAGAAGAGTCTCAATTTGTGGGCCCCAGTAGATTGAAAACATTTTATTACTTTAGATTTGTTTCTGTAGAATACTATGCATTGCCTAGCCTCCATATTCAGATTCAGATAGTGTCTATTGACATCCAATTCTTGGACCAAATATTGAGCTGGTTTTTTTTTTTTTGTTGTTGTTGTTGATCTGATGTCTACACAGAAGCCCTGTACCATAGAAATGGTCATCAGTTAGTAGGTGAGAAGATGGACGCCTAGCGAGGTTAAGTGTTCTCTAACTGTGCCTGCCTGGTTATGAAATGACCCTCTCACTTCACATCTAAGTACTCGTCTCTTTACTGAGCTAGCTTGCTTTATTTTAAGTATCCATTTTCAATTTGAGAAAAGCTCCAAGTGAGTTAATTACAGTGGATATAAAAAAAGGAATTCAAATTAGTAATATCATTATCTGTCTCTGTTTCTAGTTTGTGCAAAGCAGGTAACTGATGAAGCGTCTTCCACTCGAGATTCAAGCCTTACTAACCCAGCAGTGCAAAGCAAGTTAGTGTCTTCCTTTCAGCAACACACCAAAAAGGCTCTTAAACAGGTAAGCTAACAGTACTTGTTCTTTGATGCTCAGTTCTGCAGACTTAAGGTCATAGGAGTTCTGTTGATCAGGTAAAATGAAACCAAACCTACTAATTAGAAAACAATAATGATTACCTGAATTAAACAGCTTCCATCTTATCAAATACAATAGTTTTAATCTGTGTCCCAAACTGGAAGGGGCATGCTGAAAATTTTTGACGTACAGTTTAAGACGATAAATGTGATTAGAAAGATTAAAATTTGCTTGATTTTTTTTTTTTAAGAGTCATAAGAAAAATAGTGGGTTCATAAACTAACATTTTCAAAGTTATTATTTATGGTCTTGTAATAATTGCTACAAACAATCAACAGATCATTTCTTGTTACTGAGAGGCAACAAGTTAACAAATGAAATTAGTGAAGTAGTAATTATGGCTTACTTGTATCTAAAATATTCATCAGTGCATATTCCTTGGTGCTGAATGGCAATTGGCTTTCTGCTGTTGTCCCATTACTGCAGTGTGGATGGTGTGGTGCACTGAGATGGGTGACAGGTAGTAGTTACCTGTGCTCTGATACTCAAATTCCATTGAGTCAATTTGGAGTCATGGTGACCTTGTCTGTGATGCATAGGGATATACCTGCTGAAATTGTGGAATTAAATCACCAGGCTGTTGGGTGGTCTCGCATCTCTGGTCTTTCTGTTAGCACCCCGCTGTACTATCTGTACTACCAACAGACACCTGACACACCCTGGTAAAATCCTTGTCACTTGCTCTGTGACTCTGGGCAAGCCAGTTCTCCTCTCAGAATCTCTATAAAATTATTTCTTCATAAAATACGGGTTATAATAGTTCTTGTTCATGGGATTGATTTGGGAACCAAGTGAGGTGACCCATTTAGAGTGTGCAGTAGAGTGAGTGTCTGGCTTATAGTAATCATTCAATTAATGTTAACTACTGTTACATGTTTGGTAGGGTGGAGAGTCAGAGAAAAAAAAGGAAGACCCTCCCAGCAAGATGGATTGGCCAAGTGGCAGCATTGATGGATTCAAGCATGGCAATGATAGTGAGGTTGGCCCAGGATTGGGCAGTGTTTCGTTCTGCTGTGCGTAAGGTTGCTATGAGTCGGTGCTGACTCGATGGCACCTAACAACAACAACAACAACAACAACTGTTGTAAGATAAGAGTCCTGGTGTGGTGCTATGGGTTAATGCGCTGGACTGCAAAGTCAGTTTGAACCAAAATGTTGACAGTTCAAGCTCACCAGCCACTCCTTGGAAATCCTATACAGGGTCGTTATGGGTTGGATCTGACTCAAAAACATTTAAACAACAACAAAATAGTAACTGCTGCAGGATAAGCACTGCACTAGTAGTCACAATGTCAGCAGTTCAAACCTACCAGCTGCTCTGGGAAACACTATATAGGGTGGCTGTGAGTTGGGACTGATTTGACAGCACATGACATCAGCAACAAACTGCTGCCACACTAGCAAATATTGAACTTTGCAAGAAAGGAAAGGAAGATTAGTTGAGGGTATTGCATGGTGACAGGTGGAAGGCTCACATATGTAAACTTGAAGATGTGGTTTCCCTTATTTAATGGCTGTCTTCTTGCATTTCTTATTTGGATACGTTTTTGATCTGTTTCTTCATACCCACCTCTCAATGATCCTTACCGTATCTAGGAATAGAAGCACTATTCTCCTGATAACAAAGGGAAAAGATAAACTAGATTTTCCAAAATATGTTTAAAAGATTTTAAACTCCCATCAAACGTTAAAGCTATTATTTCCATCCAGTCTCTTAGACTGTCTCCACCTTCTCTACATCAAACAAGGGAGCTTAGGAAATAAATAACATTTTTGTACTGAAGTATATTACTTTTCTATTCTACATTGGTTATTGGACTTGAAAACACCTCAATATTTTGGTGAATTTTGTATTTATATCATAGTTTCTGAGAAATATTTTAAGCATCATAGAACACAACTGAATTCAATGTTTAGATTTTTTAAATTGATGAAGTAAAGAGTGGATGAAAGGGAAGCCTGGACAAAGGCTCATTTATGTGGCAAATAGGATGCAGGTAATAGAATGCTAACCAGGATGGAACAAAAGGCACACAACTGGGCACTTGTAGCTGTGGCATTCAGGAAACCTGTGTGTCTCAGAAATGAAACACCTGCAAGAAGTGAAAAAGTATTGTTGGTTGGGTTCCAGTTTATATGTTAGGGTGCTTTCCCAAAAAAAGGATATTATTATTATTTTGCCATGGGATGTGATGATTTTTAGGTAAGGGCTAAAATCAAATGTGTAGCAAAACTCAGGTGGACTTCTTCCCCAAATCATTGAAACTTTGCAGAAAGTTTATGGGCCTGCTGCCTCATATAAATCAACATTTTTAGCTTGATCAGGCATTTTAAGGAGGGTTCAGAAGACCTCAAAGATAATCCATGCGAGGAAGACCATCAACCTCAATGAATAAAGAAACTGTAGCTGAAGTCCAGAAACTGGTGAAGAAGACCATAGAATACCACTGACGTTGGAATTTCACATGGTTTGACACCGTCCATTTTAAAAGAACATCTTAGTCAGCTTTTGGTTCCATGGTGGCCAAAAGCATCTTGCGAAGATCAGCAAAGAGCCTCCTACCCGTAAATGTCATACCTAAAGGACCTAGCTAGATAGCTATTTGGCACATGTTTTCTTACCCTATTTATTCAAATCCAAACTTAGAACACAAACCAGATTCTCTTAAGCAAAGAGCTGATCTTTCCAACATACTTTTTAAAGTCTGAGGATGATTTCATTAAATGAGTCACCGCTGGTTACAAGTCTTATGTGTACTAATATCCAAAGAGCAAAGTCTAGTCAAAACCGTGGTTTTCTAGAGGATTTGCTGGGCCAGTTGAATTCAAGGCAGACAGATCAACTCAGAAGATTATGGGTATTGTTTTTATGGAATTCTTGATTTTTTTTTTTTTTTTAAAGCTATCACAGAGACTTACTACTACTACTACTAAAAAAGATTAAATGGAATACGGCTTTGATTTAAAAAAAAGGTCAGGAAATAAAAGTTTTGCAAAGAATTTTTTTTTTTTATTTCCCTCATCACAATGCACCTCGTCACTCTTCTAGGGTAGCAAGCGCTGTCCTACAAGAATTTAATTGGAAAACCCTACCCCAGCTGGAATCCTGGTGTGGCGCTGTGGATTAATGCGCCACATGGCAAAGCTGTTTGAACTGCAAAGTCGGTAGTTCAAGCTCACCAGCTGCTCCTCGGAACCCTATACAGAGTCACTGGGTTGGAAGTGACTCAGCAGCACTTAACAACAATAACACCAGCTACCTTTCAACCCTAATCTTGCCCCTTCAGACTTCTTCTTGTGTCTTTGACTCCAGGAAGCCAGCAGTTCTGTTTTGATGTGATGTTTTTGATGTGATATAAGTTGAAGAGCACAGAAATGTTCAGTGAAGGACAGAGAGGTAGAAACGCCACCTTCAGAAGTGTTTATATCAGGAGGGAGAATATGTTGAGAAATAATAGCTAATATTTTGATATTTGTTTAATAAATGTTTCTGTGATTTTATAGTAGTTCTTCTCGATGTACCCTCACACATCTAGTAGCCATTTAGCAAATGTGTGCCTGTGAATACTTTCTGAATCTGTATACAAAGCTAAAGATTCAAATTGCTCTGTTGTTATGTCTAGTTATTTTTCCACTTCCTTCATTTTGGTCTCATATCATTTAGATTAGGAAAACCTGGCACTACTTTGAGCTAGTGTTTTCTTTCTTGTTGAAGAATGCATGTTCATGGAGAGTGTCCCTTGTTTCCTTAAGATTTAAATTGCGTTGGAAGAAACCTCATTACTTTCTGTATAGTGTCATATCCTGAAAGCATTTCTTAGTCATTTCACATACTCCCTACTTTATAGCCAAAGAGAAAGTTACTATCTAGAAGAATAGGGCTTAATATAGCAGGTATGTTGATATTTGATTAATAATCAACTGCATATTGGAAATATATTTAGAAGAAAAGCTGCTCTTGCAGAATTGTGCCTAGATTCCTTGTCATTGCTGAATTTCTTAAGACAGCATTTCAAACATTGACTGAACATGTGGTGGTTTAAACTAGAGCAGCCTCAGCAGATCTGCTGCTTTCTTATCTTTTGGATAGTTGAATAGCTAAGACTTTTAGAACTCTTTATAACTGTATTATATACGTATATATGTGTGTTCTTTTAAAAAGTATTTTATGTGTATTCATATATGAAAAATAATAATTTCATGATCCTAAATGTCTAGTTCACCTGATGACTATAATAATAATATTAGCTGATATTTATATTATTTGTGTTCCAGGCATAGCACAATGCATTTTATATGTGACAGGTCATTAAATCATTATATAAACCTTTTCAATTATGTTTTATTTTCCCCATTTTTCAAATAAGGGAAACTAAAACTCAAAGGTTAAATAAAGGAATTTAAATAGTGTATACAGAATCATCCAGAGTAAATCTTGGAGAAGATATTTGAACCCAGAATTATAATATCATATTTTACCCTCTTAACTAATACCACCTTTCAACATAATAGTATGTCCTGTTGTTGTTGTTAAGTGCCGTCGAGTCGGTTCCGACCCATAGCGACCCTGTACAGGGTTTCCGAGGGTGTAAATCTTTACGGGAGTAGAAAGCCTCATCTTTCTCCTGCAGAGCGGCTGGTAGTTTCAAACCGCTGACCTTAAGGTTCGCAGCCCGAGTCGTGACCACTACGCTACCAGAGTATGTCCTAGAATAGATCAATTATTGATTGATACTACCGAAGGAAATTCATAAAGTTGTATAGCTAAAGAAAGCAATGTAACATAGTCATTAATAATGTAATTTCTGAGCACTTATAACAACTTTCAGTACCTGCAAGTATTAATGGCACACACTCAAAAATATTAGCTATTATTATTTACCCAAAATACATTCTGAATCAGTAGTGCCTGAGTAGTCTAAATG